GCAGCCATCTCTATCTCCCGATCCTTCATCGGATTGCCTCGCAGCCGCACGCTGGCACAGGACCCCTCAGAAGGGGCATCGCAAAGGGTCCTAAGGCCAGCCCAAATGGCTTCAAGGCCACCCGAGGCATCTAAAGTGCGAGGGACGCCAATGGTCAGGCACCAGAGGCCTTAGCCGGTCATCCAGAAGCGATGTCCGAGTACCAACCCAGAGTCGCTCGTGGTGACCCATCGAGGGAGGCAGTGAGCCCTAGAGCACTGATAGACGATCTTAGGGACTATATGAGTGGCTCGGCTAGGAAGCCGAGGAACTCCCCTCTGGGGGACATAACCGGGGCACGGAACGACCGTAAACCCAGGGTTCTCACGGACTCACCCGCTAGTAGCATGGGCACGGCAATCTTGGCCACTGAGGCCATCGTCATAATAGCCCATCCCAATGAGGGACCTAAGTCTCCGGGCATGACTCCCGAGCGGTGAGATTACAAACAAAAGTAATTTCATTTTATTAATTGGGAACGACCAGATTACAATATATGGCGGCAAAAACCACTGCCCCATGAACCACCCACGCGGCGACGGCAACCGCGCCGACCTGCCCAACCCTTGCCGTTCCACGGTCGGGGTTGTGCAGTTCGCTGATAAGCATGGGGAGACCCGAGCGGTGCAAAGGGACAGGCAGGGGTGACTCCACAACAGCAATGATGATGAGGGGTGGAGCAAAGGGATAGGCTCCTCCTTCGCCCTCATCCACTCCTCCACCGGGCTCCAACTTCGAGTCAGACGGTCACCATTAAGGCGACCAGGGTGCTCTTCCTCTAATAAAAGAGGGAAGCCCCAGTGATATATATCGCTGGGATTCTTTCACCTTCTAGAGGAAGACGGTGGGGAAAAAGCACGGCGGCACAGGCGGTCAGGGAAGTGTCGAAGATGGCAACGCATGAGGAAAGGACAATGTCCCTCGATGTTGACCCTCACCCCCCTCCGCGTGATGCCGTCGCCTTCTCTTCGCTGGAATCCTTCCACCCTCATGGGAGTGATCGCCCGGCGGAGGAAGCCAGGCTCACTCGAAGGGAAGCATCGCACTTCATTGTCGTCGTAGCCGCCAGAAGTTGGATCTAAGAAGAAGAGAAGAAGATGGAGGAGGGATTGAAGGTGCCGTGTCCCCAGGGCCCCTCTTTATAGCACCAGTTGATGCACTAAGGATGGCTCTGAGCCCTCCAATCAGCCATCGATGGCTAAAAGAGGCATTAGGGTACCTACCAGGTGTCCCTTCAATCCTGCAACGCACCTTAGAGCGGTTGCATGATGGTGACCATGCAGTAAAGATGAAGTCAGGAAGGCACTAACAACGAGTCAAGTCCTCACTCCACTTTCCATCAAGCATGCCCTCGCTCTGTGCACGCTTCCTCATGGGACTTGAGGGCATCTGACTCCCCTTGGGCCCACCAGTCACCATCAATGGCCTAGATCCATGCGCACCAAGTGCTACGGCTCCTCCGCTAGATCTGCTCCATGTGACCGGACGTCCCATCTCCCAAATGAAGTGGGATGGCATGGGAGCGCATGCCTTAACTCCTCCACCAGGCATGATGGCCTAGACGCCATCAAACCGCCTGTAGGGCGAGACGTGCCCAGAAGCTGCCACGCCCGCTGACAAGGAGGCCCCATGATAGCCTCGAGGGCTGCGTCGGCTCCCCAGACAGAGCAGCTAGACCCCTCGATCGATGGGGGCTCGGGCGGTGCAACCCCAAAACCAACCAACTCCCTAGAGTTGGGTCAGGGACCGCTGAGCGATGGACACAATGAGGGTCCCCCAAGCTTGGAATGCGCTACCCATGCCCCGACCTATGGCCACAAAAGGTCAACCTAAGAAGGCTATCCCAAGAGGATCAGGGCCTGCTATCAAAGCCCCTAGAAGGGTGTGGTGCTCCTAGTGATCAGGTGGCCCTGAGCCAGAGCCCAGACGCTCTCGATCACCCGACCCACGATAGGTCCTGACCAAAACGTAGGGTGCCCCGAGGCCTAAAGTTGGTAACTCCTAGACGAGTGCACCGAACCCTCGCTCAGGCCATAGACCTATGCACATGGGAATAGAGAAGGGGTCAGCACCACTACCACTTGGCCTCGATAGCCAAGCGGCCCCTATCACACTAAGGGCAATGCCCTCACGTAGGGCAACACACTCCCGTCAGCAAAAACCGTCTCCGCCATGGCTAGTTCGGTCACCAGAGGATCGAATTCAGCCCTTCATCGCCATCACGATTCAGGCCAAGTGAGGCCACGAAGGGCTCGGGGGCTCCTAATGAGATCCTAACATATGGGTATGCTAAGCCTCGGGATCAATGGTTTCTCAATCGAAGGGACCCCTAATCGATCCCCACAGGATCGCTTGGGGGCTCGGGGGCTATACCCGCCGAAGTGCACGCTCACGTGCACCCTCCGATATTGGCACGGTGCAGCCCCAAGACAGGCTTGGGGGCTTGCCCGGGCTTGAGCTCCCAATCGATGACACGCCTGAGCTCGGGCCATGGCTCTGCCTAGCTTGCGATGCCGGCCAAGGCCAGGCGCAAGAAGACAAGCCTTGAGCCATTGAAGCTCGAGGGCTCCAGGATGCCATGCCTCGGGCGTGGCCCCGCCGCCACTTCGCGATAGGGTCACATGACGGGCGTGACACAAGACGACAAGCTTCCCACGGCCTCCAGGGCTGGGCGGCTCTGAGCGATCGTCGGCCCTGGAGCCGACCTCCTTCGCCACCAAGAAGACTCCAGAAGGTCCACCTGGGGGAGGCCGGTCCAAGTCGACACAGCCTGACACGTAGAGTGTCATAATAGAGCAGCCGGACGACGCCCAAGGCTTCTTCGGTTCCACGACACCGCCACGGTCCACAGAGCGCCGCTGCAAGGCCCTCCTATCTTGTTATATAAGGGATAAGGTCAGACCTAGAGGGGGGAGGACGATCCAAGACAGATCATTCCATTTCATTCAATCTGCTCCTGCTTAGCACTGAGGGCAAGGGAACCCAGAGAGAGGGGCACCGAGAGCTCCTCCACCGCATCACGTCATCTTCCTCCTCTCCAACGAGGGGAAGGCTCCATCGGCAGCAAGGCGACCTAAGGATTAGCACCGAGCTAACCCCTACCAAATCTCTCTCTACACTCTGCTATAACCCCCCGATTTTGGGTGCTCTTAAGTATAAGGATCATCAGCTGTTGGACGTAGGGCATCGATTGGCCCGAACCAGGATAAACCGTTGTGTCCACTCTATGATTCTTGTATTTCGGAGTCCACCTAAGCCACCGGGGACTCGTACTCTGACACTGACTTGAACAACTATGCTTGCCGCGGTTCCAACCCCGCGACAGGTGGCTGCCTTCTGTTGGTCCTTATGGCTCACTAGAAATGATAGTGTTTTTGATAAGTGCAGTCCTAAAACATTTTTGCAGGTCTTATTTAGGGGAATATATTGGTTCCAGTTCTGGGGTCAATTGCAGCGAAGTGAAGAAAAGAAAGAATGTATCTACAAAGCTTGCCAGACCCTAAAGACATCGGCTTTGGCATTTTTTCCTCTTATGGATGGCCCATTATGTCTAGGATTGCGAATTGATTTTCTGTCTTTTTTTTTGTGAGTCTGCTTTAAACGTAAGTGTGAGAACCTTTTGTAATAATTTGGTCTGATTCCTCACCTTTGAGCAAGGATGAAGCTGGATGTTTATTCCATTATTAAAAAAATGTTCATCTAGGCCGTGTAATTTAGTATTGAGTGTAATCGATGTTGATTGTGGCATTCTAAAGAGATTTGAACATACATGAATGAGTCAATGATGTGATAAAATTCATACTCGCTCCGGTTTCCTAAAGAATGTCGTTTTGATGTTGTCTTAAGTCAAACACTTTAAACTTTGACTACAAATATTTTTTTTTGGGTTGAGTTTGAAAATATGAAAGTGATGTAAGTAAATTCTTCTCGAAATATAGTTTCATAAAAATATATTTTAACTATATTTTATAGCAAAAAGTAATGGTCAAAGTTATTTTTTGGAGACCGTGTCGCTGTCTAAAATAACATTTTTTAGAAACCGGAGGTAGTAACCGATACCAAATTAGTCTTAAATTTTAGGTCTACTAGTTAGTTTTCTTTTTTATCGATTTTAATAATCTCGTCGAACTGTTGGTTGGTAAAACATCCTTAGGGAGTTGAACTGTCATTTGGTAAAACTCTGTTGGTCGATATAGACTTATACCAATGCCACTTTCATCGACTTTGAGGAGCTGTCATTTATATTGATTGACGTTAAGTCAGTATAACGGCTTTAACGAATTTAATGTAGTCATTGTTCTGGGGATGTGGTGTAGTGCATGGAGACGCTGTGAGGAACTGCCACAGATTCACCACACGTGTCCACATGTAAGCATCCAACGTTCATAAATTCAGGAGGAGCAATTAAAAACTATTGCATAGATTCAGGAGGACCACAACATAGAACTCAATTGGAGGAGTATTTGGAAATTCCGGGCTGAACCAAAGTGTCGCCACTTCATTTGGCTTCTGCTACAAAGAAAATTGCTGACGGCGGACAGAATAAACAAGCGAGGTGGGGGGGGGCGGTGGCGGGCACGGGCAAACCCAATTTGCAAATTATGCTACACCAGGCAGGAATCACACTCACATATGATTGCCAACTGTTCATTCGCAAAACTGATTTGGGAAGGAGTGGAAGGCTGGTCTGGAAAACAGGAGGTGCAACTGAACCAAAAATGTAACAAAGGTCAGTGACTGGGTGGACTAAGCTGAACCAGGAAGAGGCGACGCACAAAACCAGCGAGCAACAATCATCATCTACACAGCTTGAAATCTGTGGAAAGAAAGACGCAAAAGAGTGTTTGAGAACAGAGCGCGAACTGCAGAATAGCTGCTTGCGGCAATCAGAGAAGACTTCCAGGCAGTTCAGAAGGCATGGGAGGACTAAGCCGCAGATGTGGATTTTTTTTCTCTTGTCCCTATAGCTTCTCGAGGGCGTGAATCCAGGCGACGAACCCTCCTAGCGCGACGTCGACGTACCCGACGCTGTCGCCCCTGAAGAAGGGCTTCCCCTTGGAACACTCGCTCAGGGCTCCCTCCAGCGTTGCCGCCACGGCTAATGACTGCCTCGTCCCCTCCGCCTTCTGCTCATCCGTCTTGCCCCTGAACACCATCATCCACGAGCTGAGGAGCTGCACACGCACAATCACACACGCGTCAGGATTTATAACAAATTAGTCAGGGATAACACGAGACTCTACCGATGGTTTTTGCGGCTCATAAATCGGCTACGGCTGTTTTATTATGAGAGAAAAACACTATATCATACCTGATAAGCCGGGCTGACATGCTCAAACAAACAGGGTGTATGATTTGACGTGGTGTGGTGTTGGTATGTACCTTCTCGTCAATGTAGGAGGCCCAGAAACGAGCAACAGTGCGTTCATGGGGCTCAGAAGGGAGGAGGGAGGGGCCGGCGTCAGCAAACGCCTCCTCGAGGTACTGAATGATGATCATGGACTCACATACAGGCTTGCCGTTGTGGATGAGTACGGGCACCTTCTTGTGCACAGGGTTGGACTTGAGGAGGAGCTCGCTCTTGTTGTTGAGGAGATCCTTCTCCTCGATGTACTCGTAGCTCAAGCCTTTGAAGCTTAGCGCAAGTTTCACTCGCAGCACAAACGGGCCCGCGAACGAGCCTAGAAGCTTCAGCTGATTGTTTTGTCCGGCCATTTCAAGCAGAACTTGTTCTACGCTCGTGTGAAGGATTGGACCTTCCTATGATAGGTTTTATTCTTGTGTTTCCTTGTTCTTGGCGGATGGAAAACGAGGAGAGCTGGCATATATAGAGTTTGATATGTGGTGTGCGTGGAAAATTCATCGATCATATCCATGACGCTACATCTGGAATCAGCTAGAAATTACAGAAATGAAAAAATTAAAACATGTTTGAAGAACGATGATGTAAAAAAAACTCTGACCCGCGGGGTAAGACAGGCCTGGACACTGTGCTTAAGAAGAAGATCTTCTCACGTAGGTCGAGAAAATCCCCAAACCTCTGTCTCACTCATACACAGCAACACCGTAACTTCCATGAGACTAAGATGGCCTTAGACCTGTGGCGTGGGCAGACGAGGGGATTTTTTTAACGCGTAGATAAACTACGTCTCCTCCGGTCAATAAATCCGTCTCCTTTTGAGTTTCGAACTCTGGCCGGTAGAGTGCAAAGCGCACAGCTAGCGTTCGCTTGCGAAGAACCATGATGGAGACGTGTTAGTGCAAAATATAGATTCAAATGAAAGAACCTAGCTAGTACGTGTGTCGTACTATCTGCTTGTGTTTAGTAAAATGTTCCTTACAGTCAATGCTTAATTAGATGACGACGGTACAAATACTAAAGTTTGGGAGTCGTCATGTTTGACTTGACCTGTTTGTTTGCTACTAGAACATTGTCCTGTGCGTAGGTGTTACTAGTTCCTGTAGGTTTTCCCCTGTTCTTGGCACAGAAAGCTAGCAGACGAGGAGAGGCCGGCAGCAAGCTAGGGAGTTGCAGAAATCAAGTCAAGAATTTGAAAACATGTTTGGATAACGACGATGAAGACATGTTAAATGAACCTAGCTACTGTATGTTCCACGCAATCAATGCTTAGAAAAATACTCCTCGACCTATTACACATTTTTTTTACCCATGAGTTAAGTTAAAACTATACCTTCTATTCAAAATTCTCCTTTTAGATTTTATTAAAAATTTGATTCTAGGCACATGGTTACTACAAATAACATAAATCAATGTTTCATCATGTCGAGCAGCTTAAAATGTTAAATTTCCGGTATCTAAAAACTGTGTTATAGTTTTTTAAAGAAAACTGTAGGTGTGGATATGTTGTATTGTTTAGTCAAAATGTATAAATATCTCTATAAAATTTGCGACTTACATAATTTATTGTAACATGTATTAATATAATTTAAAATAAATTATTGGTATTTTCTTACATGATTCCTTAAGGGTTACTTAGATTATCTATTGCAATGGCAGATGTGTGTGGTTTTAGATGTTCACTTAGAAAGTTATAATGTCTATGTTCTCTTTCATAGTGGCAGGTGTGTTAGTAATTTAGAGATAGATTCTGGGATCAATATTTGTTGTTTTGATAATAGTGGAAGACGGTAGTTTTTTTATAAGAAGTAATAGATTAACGATAATGATAGGATGAGGATGTCCGGACGTACCCCGACCCACGCCGTGCCTCTACCTTTACCCTGCCCACGCCAGTACCTGGACCCAACCTGCCCGTGCCTTTACCCCGTCCCTGACACAACTGCGCCTGCATGTGTGCCTTATCACCCACCGCTCCTTTCTCTCTCTTGCCTCCAGCGCTACTCCCTCCCTGCCTCCTAGGGATGAAAACGGTTGGAAAACCTGCAACCGTTTTTTTACTTTTACATTTGAATACGAAAACGAATTAAAAGCGTAAAACCGGAAATGAAAACGAACATGAATTTATGGAATTTTGAGAATTTTGAAAACGAACTAATTGAACGAAATTATGTCGAACACGGTCGGAATACAAACTATCAATACAGAATATTGACTCGGAGGACCAAGTTTATAACAATTAAAAGTGTATGAGACAAAGTGCATAACAATTAACAAGTTCTACAACTTTCATATAAAAAGTATCTCCATTGGAACCAAATAAGAATTAAGAAAGATTATTTTTCTAAGGCAATAGGCGCTTGTGCGCGATTAATATATTGTTGAAACTTTGTTTATTTTTTTTTTTGAATATCTTAAAAACCTTAAATGAAAAAACTAAAACCTAGAAAGTTATAGATCTCGCCGAGAGCTACAATTTTCATATAAAATCATCTTCATCTCAGATCCTATGAAAAAGATACAATTTTTCTAAGGTTGGATTTCTAGTGGGCCAAATTCGGGATATTCTGAATTAAAAGTAGAAAAGTAGAAAACGGTCGAAAAACGTCTAAACCATTTTCGTTCCGATTTATAATTTGGTGTTCCGTATTTCGAACTGAATTCAAATTTGTTCGAAAATATGACTTCGATCGGGTCAAATGTAGAAAACGATGTGGTTTGGTATGGGATATTTCCGTACCGTTTTCATCCCTAATGCCTCCCCCCTCTCTCTTTCAAAGGTGTGGGCGAGCATCTCGGCATGGCACCGCAATGGCCTTGGCGTGAGCGGGCCACGACGAGGAGGCCCGAGAGGCCTCGACACGGTGGTGCAACGGCGCCGATGGCCCCGGTCACGGGTGAATCAGCGCGGCAAGGCCAGCACGAGTGGCTCCCCGACAGATCTAGCTCCCTCTCCTAGCCGTGCATGCGCAACCTCCTTGTCACGTCTTTCTTGCCATGTCGCACAGCCGCTGTCGTCGGACCACTACCTACGATAAATTCCACACGCCGATGAGCATGCATTCTCCCAAGCAGCATGGAGATATTGTGATGCGCTGAAAGCGCATGTTGCAAGCGTATGTTTCAAGCATTTCAGATCTTTTAAAGGTATGTTGCAAGCGTATGTTTCAAGTGTTTCAGATGTTTCATATGGAGGTTGCAAAAGTAGATCGGGATGTTGCATATGTTGCAAGTGTTTCGTATGAATATTGCAAGCATTTTCACAATGTTTCATCTGTTTCAGATGTATCTTTGCAAGCGTTTTGATCTAGATGTTGCATATATTTCACACATATGTGGCAAGAGCATGTTTCAAATGTTTTAGTCTTATATTGCAGCAAGTCTTTTCATGTTGCAAGTTATAAGTGTTTATCTGGACGTTCCATATGTTGCAATAGCTATAAATGTATGTTGCAAGTGTATGTTTCAAATGTTTCAGCTGTTTTTAGAAGTATGTTACAAGTGTTTTATCCATATGTTGCTTATGTTGCAGTGGCTATACACATATGTTGCAAGCGTACGTGTGGATGGTGAAAAGTGACGGACCCACCGTCGAAGAACACATAGCAAGCCGAGAGAAACCGCATGGAGCACATCCCGAGCTCTCCCCGTACTTAGGAGGACACCGGACCAGATGGTCATGACCTAGGGCGTGCCAGTCAATTTAACCCTGTAATTGACAAGGAGACAAGATTGACCAATAAAAAGAGCATATCGGCAATTATCAGTTACTCAATTGCATAGATCTAAATAGTCGATGATCATGGAAACATGCAAAAAAGGTGTAAGAAGTAGACATGGAAGCATTAAATAAGAAACATACTAGCTTTTAACTAGGACAAAAATAAGTAAAAAGCATGTGAATAGCCAATATATTCTCAACGTACGGGCTATCGGCTAAAATAGCCGATTCCAATGAAAGTAAAGTCGTAGCATGCAAGCACTCAACCGTTGAACATGGATATGTCCATACACTTATCAGATCCAAACTGCCACCTCTAACAGTGGGGATACGAGCTGGACCGATGCAACCGTGATAGAGATAATAGATTAAACCCTCAAAGCTTACGAATCTATACGTGCTTAACGATGAATATTGATTACTGCACTCTGGACAGTTACGTCTTGTAGGTAATTTCAAACCTTCGTTCCAACATTGCCTGAAAAAAGGACAATTCTAATATAACTCAGCTTATTTTCTTTCATACCTTTCTTCCTCGCACCCTCATATTCTTCTTCTTCAAGTCAGCGCTGGTAGTCCTTCTCCTTCTCGAGTTGCCATTTATTCAACAAGATTCTGGAAGTCACACGAGGACGCATAGCACCGACTCTAGATATCTCACCTTGTTCATATCAGCTCTTTTTTGATCGCGTTGTCGCTTAGCCTTCTTATACTCATCACCAATTCATCATCGTTCATGCCAAACAATTTGTTGCCTCGGCTGTCCTTGAATATGAGTCGAGAGCCTTGTACTTGGAGCTGTTGACCCTGTGCCTAAGGTTGTTGTCCTTAAACCCGAGATTGTTGGCCCTAAGCCTGAAGCTGCTAAAGTTATTTTGCGTTATAATTATAAGGATTCTGGTACCCAGGATGTGGCAAAAGTTCATATGTGCTGGCATCAGAAACCAGGTGATATGCTTCTGGATAGTTGATCTGAGCATTGTGAGTCACATATCCTTGCAATCGACTGTTGAAGTAGTTAGGATCAATATTCTTGATGATCCTCTCCACTAATAGAGCAATTTTATGGGCTGATTGAGGTGTTTGATAGGAAGTAATGAATCTTCCCTAAGCCGCCATTGCGCAACAACATGTGAATAGCTAGAGAGGTTGGTCTTGGACTAAATAAATTGGGTTTTGTCCAAGAGGCTAATTAAATCTCGCATGATGAGGGGCACTTGGTGACTGGCTTTGTCTTGGCGGTTGGCCCCCTCATCATCGACCTTGCCCCCTACGGTTGGCGGTGGTTTGACTTTGTCCCCCGCTGTTGGTAGGGTTTGATCTTGAGCTTGTCCTCCGGAAGCTGTTGTATTAGTGGTTGTTGAATCGCCCATCATTCGACTCTTGACTAGAACCAAGTAACGTTCCTTCCCCACCAAGGATTAAAGCCATTGAAGTATGCATGCCCCACTTGATTAACTGGAGCTCCAAAGAAAACTTCCTTCAAAACATTACCAATCATGTTAGCCAACACCTTATTGTGGTTTGTAAAGGCTCCGTGAACAGTCTTGTGAACCAAATGGACAGTAGTTCTTGTTTCAACATCTTCACTTTGTCCATGCAGGAGGACGCTTGGCAGGGGAGTCTTCTAGATGA